GTAAAAATAATGATGATGTAATACCTTTTTAAATTTTTAAAATTATCTTTAATCTCTTTTTTTTTTACAGGTCAGTCGTTATCCCCCTCCTGTTCTGCCCTCTAACAGTTCCTCATCCCATTCCTCCTCCCCATCTCCAAGAGGAAGTCCCCACACCTCCACACCTGTAATATAACAAAAAACTTAAGTCAAAAGATAAAAACGGAAACAGAAAAAAAGCACATAACTTCAATGCATCTGATTTTTGTCTAGTTTTTTTTTTTTACTTTTACTGAGAATTTAGCTTAATTAAGAGTTTTGAACAAAGGAGGAAATACATGAAAAAAATTGTTCAAATCTTCCTTTGGATCAGATATAGAAGTGGAGAAATCCTCACCTGTTTCAATCCCATTTGGTGTGCCATGTGTAGCTACTAATATGCTCCCATCTACACTAATTGACTCATAATAATGGGGTACCTCTTACTACCATGACAGACAAAAGCCAACTGAAGATTTAAAGGATGTCTCTAAAGAGAGGTGAATTTCAAGTGCATTAAAATATTCACTAAATTCAAAGTTATGCACAATGTTTGTTGCTTTGTATTATTTCGACTGACATTTCAAGGCTACGGTCCATCATGATGAGGATATCCTGGCAGCAGGAGCTTGAGGCAGTTGGGCATATTACATTTCCAGTTAATGGCAGAAGGAGACCAGTGCTATGGCTTAGCTAGCTTTACTCAGTTTATGTAGGCTAATATCCAAGCCACGAAAATGTTGCCACCTGATATTAGAGTCAGTCTTTTCAACTCAATTAATTTAATCATGATAATCCCACATTGGCATAGCCAGATGATGATATAATATAAATCATCTCTCACAGGTATTCCTGAAGATTTGTCTTCTAGATAATTCTAAATCCTGACAGGTTGACAACCAGTACTAATCATTATGTGCCGAATCTATGAAATCACAAAGTTTTAAAGTTGAGTATCTCTATTGTTTTTAGACTTTTGCTGTCAGATTACAAACTGAAAACATACATTGTGTAGTATCAACAACAATCCTTCACTAATACTGATTTACATAGTTTGAACACAGTGGGTCTCAAAGTCTGATTACTGTGTAACTATGTACAAAAACATAGTTCAATAAACCATGTCTTCTTAACTATTATGAAGAGTTTTTTTGAGATTTATTAATCTTTATGTATATGAATGTTTTGAATATATATTTGCATTACATGCTTGTAGTGCCTGGTAAATCCAGAAGAGGGCAACAGATCCTCTAGGACTGCAGTTAAAGATGGTGAGCTAGTACTATGTATGTTCTGATTCTGTGTCCTCTGCAAGAGTAGCAAGTTCTCTTAAGCATTGGGCTATCATTCCAGCCTCCTATTATAAAGGTTTCAAAAGAAGAAATATTTGAGGGAGGAGCAACACCTGGAATGTAAATAAATAAAATAATTTAAATTTTAAAAGAAATAAAGTTTAATAATATGGAAAATTGTTGTAGGGCTTTTAATAATATGTAAAGTTAAAAATTTCACCATGTGGTACAAATTTGCTATGGCTTAGCTAGCTTTATTCAGTTTATGTAGTCTAATATTCAAGTCTTGGAAACGTTGCCACTTGATATTAAAGTGAGTCTATCCAACTCAATTAATCCCCAGTCAGTGTGGCAGTTCCTCAAGAAGATGGGGATTAATTTATTTAAAGACCCAGCTATACCACTCTTCAGCATATAACCAAAAGGCACTTCATCTTACCACAAAGACACTTGCTCAACTATGCTCACTGTTGTCCTACTCATAATAGCCAGACATTGGAAACAACCTAGATGTACCTCAACAGTATAATAGACAAAGGAAATGTGGTACATTTAGAGAGTAGAGTATTACTCAACCATTTAATTAGAGAGGTTAGGTATAGAGGAAGGGATTAGAGGGTACAAGTAGATCTCATTAGAAAAGGGATATGGAATAGATCACTGTGGATGGATTAGGGGTTGGAATGGGAGGTTTAAGTGGGGAGAGGGAGGGATGTAGGGTTTGAGGCAGGGGATATGGGGAAGACAGGGTCATTTGAGGTGTAATATGGAAACCTAATTACAGTAGAATCTTACACACACACACACACACACACACACACACACGAATCTAAATGCAATTGCCAGGTAATGGGGGAGACAGAGTCCAAACTGACCATATCTTGTCACCAAATAAAGTTTCAAGTATCAGAATTAGGTGGAAACTAATTGAGCTGTCAGTCAAAAGGGTCCCCAATCCAGCCAAACCCTTTGATCTACAATGGTGCTCTGACTGTAAGATATGCTAGGGCAATGGTGGCATAAAGTTTGTGAAAGTAACTGACAAATATATCATTTGACTTAAGGCCCATTCCACAAGATGGAATCCATACCTGACACTGCTTTGGTGACCAAGACTCTGAGACTAGATAGACCTGAGACCTAGGGAAAAAATAATACTGATTTAATAAAGAAAAATATAGTGATATAATCACTTCTAATGATATTGTGTTGGATTCTGCTAGATCAGTGCCTTATTCGCCATCATCAGAGACGTTTCCTCCTGCTGTAAATGGGAACAAAGATAGAGACTCACAGGCAGACATTATACAGAGAGTGAGAGATCTTGGAATATTCTGCTATAAATGTGACATACCCATAAAATCCTTTTTGTCAGAACTCATGGTACCCCTTGGAAGAGGATTTTGAAAGAATGTAAGATACAGAGGTGACCAAGAAAACAAGGCAATCTAAATCAACATGATCAAATCTCATATGAAACAGCAGAGACTAAAGCAGGGCCTGCTTGCATCTGCACTAGGTCCTCTGCATATCTATCTATCTATCTATCTATCTATCTATCTATCTATCTATCTATCTATCTATAAATAATACATACATATAGATATAGATTAACTACATGTCTCTAATTTAGTGTTTTAATGGGACTTCTGAGTATATTATTAAGCTTGTTTCTGTTTCTTATGCCTTCTCTTGGGCTCTTTTTCTTCTGTTGGTTTGTGTTATTCAATTTTAATGTGATAGTTTTTGTTTTATATTTTATTTAGTCAGACTTTATTGTTATCTCTTAGAAGGTTTACATTTTTAAGTGAGAGACAGAAAGGGAGAGGATCTCGTTGGGAGAGGAGTTTGGGAGGAACAGGTTAGCATAGCAAGAGGGGAAGCATATATTATCTGAGAATATTCTATTTTCAATAAAACTAAAACTAAACTAAAATAAAATAAAATAAAATAAAACAAAATAAAACTCACCATGAAGATACATAGCACTTCAAATCAGCAGTCTCAAATATGAAATTGTTTATTTTGAAAAACTACCTCAAATCAATAGAAGGGAGGTGGTTCAGTTTCTACAAATCTGCACGATAAGAAACTTCATGAAATCCAGGTTAGATGGTGTATTTCTGTAATCCCCTACACTCAAGATGCTAAGACAAGTGTGTTATAAATTAAATGGCTGTCTAGATGACATGTCTAGTTCTAGGGTAGTCTGAACTATATATTGAGATCTTAGCTCAAAAAAGAAAAACAGACATTAAAAATATGGATAAGGCCAGGCATGGTAGTGAATGTTTATAATCGCAACACTAGGAAAGCTAATGCAGGAGAGCCCTAGGATTGACGCCAGCCTGGGCTACAAACAAACTCCAAACTAGACTGATTTATATACAGGGACCTAAGTCCAAGGTTTTAAAATGGGATATGACCGGAAAGCAACGGAGACAAAAATATAACGATTCAGGCTGAAAACCACAGAAAAGAGATCCTATAGAACCCTATTCATACTTTATGGTGAAGTTACTGGCATGTTCCTAGAATGAGAATAATTCTACTTTACTTCATACTTAAGACTAGTAAAAATGAGAACTTTGGTTGAAGATCCACTGTCTAATATCAAGACGGAAACATCCTAGCCGTGTACAAAGTTAACTAACACAATTTCTGTAGGCTTTCTAGTAGTTCCTCTGAACCGGAACAAAAGAGAACTGGAACTATTCTTTCCAGGGTTTTATTTAGAGGAACAGGAACACATTTAAAAAAAAAAAAAAAAAAAAAACGGCAGAGGAGGGGGCAGGTACAAGATCTTGACTTCCGCCTCAAGTTCTTGCCAGGAATAAGGCCTTGGTCTAAGAAACAAGCCTAGCATTTCATTGAAAGCCATCTCTCTCGTGCCTTGAGGAGTACTGTGAGTTAAAACTGACCACCTGAAACCCACTGTGGATGCCGGAAGCTCACAAGCTAGCATTCCGTTAAAAATCATGGGCACATAGACCCCGCCCCCTGCTCTGGTCTTGGAGAGTCCCCTACAAGGTAGTTAAGCCCAGAAGGCTTCCACTTTTCCTGCTCCTCTCAAAATGAAGGCCTAGGTGGAAAGTAGGAGAATAGCAGTTAAGGGGGAAAACTGTAGCTAGTTAAGTATAAAGAGAGACCACTTATGAGCCTGTGTGGGGCAGTGGGGTGGGAGAAGTAAGGAGGTAAACAGAATTTGAGGAGAATCTATGCAAAGCCTGCCACAGGGAGGTGGGTGTGTGTATGCATGCAGCGTGGGTGGAGTGCAGTCAAACCGAACTGTGTCCCCTTTTGTGGGTCCCAGGTGGGTCAAAATGCTTTGTGATTCCTACCAGCGAAAAAGGAAGTGGGATATTATGCAGAGTATCCAGTGCTTTTCTTAAACGGGACTCCTCTAGGAAAGTACCAGAGGGGATTTCATTAAGTGCCAAGAAGACTTGAGCATATCCTCAATGATGGTGCAAAGGGGAAATGTTCTTTAATTTCCTCCAGGTTGTTATTATAGAAGACTGTAGTGATATTTCAAAGCAGGAGTAGAAAGTAAAGGTCAGAACATGGAAAAAAATGTGAATGTAAACAGAGAAGCCCCTTGATAGCTTACTAAAATGGAGGAGGGGGAATGTAGGAGAGCACAAACTGGACTGTAATATAGAGACCTAACGAACTCTGATTCCCTCCACAGATTTCTCAGGAAGCAGACTGAACAGGAGAACAGGAACAGGGTTTGAATCCAGAAAGGTGTCCAGATAAAGGCAGCTGGTTGGGGGGGGGGGTAGGGGTTAGGGGTCGCTCCTTAAAGGGAAGTTGCTTTCTACCTAATGATGGTTACATAGTATCTTTCTCTCCGCACAGATCCTTTCTAGCACTCCTGTCCACTTACCCAGAGCACCATGCCTAGAGGCAACAAGAGCAAGAGCCGCTCCCGGGCCAAAAGACAGCAGATGCGGGGAGAGAGGCCTAATATCCAGGGTGCTCAGCCCACTGTGGAGGAGGAGGAAGCAGCATCTCCTGCCCTTGTCCAGGGAGATACCTCCAGCTCCCCTGATATAGCCACTCCTCAGGAGTCCCAGCAGGCTGCATCCCATAGTTCTCCTGGGTTAAATGTTTCCCATCCGGTCCATGATGTTGGTGCTGCAGGTTCCTTTGCAGGTGTGGAAGAGAGACGTACAAATGTCTCCATTATAGCAGAAGCCATCCAATCTGCACGCAGTGATCCTCTGACCAGGAAGGCCAGCAAGGTACTTCACTATCTGCTGGAGAAGTACCAGAAGGATGAGCAACCCGTGGAGGCAGAGATGCTGAAGCTGATCAGCCGGAAGTACAAGGTTAACTTCCCCTGGATCCTGGAGAAAGCTGCCTATCAGCTGGAACTGGTCTACGGTCTGGAGTTGAAGGTTGACAACCCTGCCACTCAGTCCTATGTCCTAGTTAACAAGTTACCCATCCTCCCTGGGGCAAATGTGGGTGGCAGGAGAGAATTGCCTAAGACGGGTCTCATTCTGACCCTCCTGGGTATGATCTTAATGAAGGGCAACCGTGCCACTGAGGAAGAGGTCTGGCAGTTTCTCCACCTGCAGGGGATATATCCTGGGAGGAGGCACTTAATCTTTGGGGAGCCCCGGAATTTCATCACCAAAGAGCTAGTTGAGCAAAATTATGTGGAGTACCGCCAGGTTCCTGGCAGTGATCCCCCAACCTATGAGTTTCTATGGGGTTCCAGAGCCCATGAGGAATCCACTTCCAGGAAAGTCCTGGAAGTTTTGGATAAGATCAGAAATGCCATTCCTGGTTACTATCCTCAACAGTATGAGGAGGCTCTCAGTAACCAGGCTGAGAGAGCAGCAAGGAGAGATGAGGCTGTTAGTTTCCATCCTGCCAGGCTTCCCTCCCATGCCCAACCTAGAAGGTCCTCCCACATGTAGCTAGCCCTTGGTGATAGCTGTCACTGTGCTCAAGAACAGCCAGTCTTCTGAGTAGTGGGGCATTTATGAGTAGGTGGGAATACACTAAGACAGTACCTTTTGTTATGCATGTGGAAAGTATACATACCTTTCTTTGTTACATTAATATTCCTGTAACTGAAGATTAATTTGTTTCATATATGCTTCTTAATGTAATGTCTGCCACGTTTATTGCTCTTTGTCAAGGGTAAGATATTTGGGGTTTTAAAGTTGTTGGAAAACCTTCATATATTTCTTCTTAATAAGTGTAAAACAAGACATGAGAAAAGGTTTCACAGAATGTGATGTGCTACAGTTGATAAAACAAAGTAAAGTGGTCAGTTCATCTGTGTCACTCTTGGTTTTGTCTTTAGATCATAATTTTAATAGAAACAAACTTGGTTTCATTAAACTTACTAAACTCTATAAGAAAATAAACCGGTAAATTTAGCCTTGTGTCTAGTTTCCTTGTCATTTCATTATTTTCCCCAGTCATTCATTGGGCATCAGCTCTTTGATAGCTCCTCCCCACTGATATCATTGTCAATGGCAGGAAAGATGCACCCACAACTGATAAATTAAGCCCCCTATATAGGTTTCTTGTCAGCTCATTATTTCTCCCAGTCATTCTTTGGAATCAACCCTTTGATAGCTCCTCCCCTCAGGTTATTGTCAATGACAGCAAAGATCCACCCACTATCCACAGGGATTTAGAATTCAGCAGCAGTTACTCATAAGGAAGAGAATAGAAAAGTCTCTAAGAAGGGCATCCAAGAGAAGGTATTAGGAAGAACAGATTTCCAATTCAATAGAGCTACATATTACCTGATTAAGGTCATTTAGAGGATTGGAGGATTTCAGTTCTGTCAACAGAGTGTAATTTAAGTGACAATGCATGGTGGGTTGCATGAGGCTGTGGGAGTGATGAGCAAGGTCAGATGCACAGAAAATGGACCCCTTGGAGTAATGTTAGTTGATTAGGAAATATGACTTAGTGCATCATAGAGCTTAAAGTTTAAGGTAGAACAAGAAATACATCATAAATGTCCCTTAGTTTCAGAGTGTACCAGCAGGAAATCTTACCTGGCAAAGTCCATGTGTTTATCCCAGTGCAGATGAATACTCTGTACAATCCACACAATGAACTGCATGGATTTTCTGAGACTAATCGATGAAAATCCTTTGAAAATAGGTTCCAGGAAGACAATTGTCTGTTACTTAGGGCTGGCAGAGGCAAATTCTCTTTCATTTAAGTATATTTGAACCAAATTTCTTAGAATGTATTTTGTTAAACTTCAAAGACTAGTCTAAAATTAGTTGTGATAAAAGAAATTCCCAAGCTAAATTTCAATGGAAAGTTCTTTAGATTAATATTGTCGAACCCTGAAACATAGTAGAAGTCTAGCTGCTGATACTTGAAAAAGAAACAAATAAGCTACCCTCAAATTAAATATCATTTTCCATAGAAAGATCTAAATTTTATTATGGTATAATTACAGCATTTCATCATTCCCCTTTCCTTGCTCTGCCCCCTCCTATTCACCCCTGCTTTAAAATTTTGGCTACCTTTTTAAAAAATTGGGATTTATATACACAGGTGTGTGTGTGTGTGTGTGTGTGTGTGTGTGTGTGTTGAAACTGAAATTGAAAGAGAGCCAAGAAGGGAGGTATATAGGTGTTTGGGGGAAGAAGATGGGAAGGGGAATTGATATGATTATAATATAACCTTAAAAAATAAATAATAATGAAAGCCATATGTATTTCTGTGTGTTTGCACACTATGCACATGCATACACATACATATACACACATCATGATCTATATATGAAGGTGAGAGGAAAATTTACAGGAATCACTTTTATTATGTGGGTTCCAGTGATCAAACTAAGGTCATCCTACTTGGAGGTAAATACTTTTCTTGCTGCTAAACCATCTAATTAATCCTTAAAAGAGACATGAACAATTATCAAGGAGAATGTTGGCCATTGACTCAAAACAGAGTAAAGTTGAAGAAAGAAAAAAAATCTCCAATCTAAATATCATTTCGTAACTGGTAAACACTATTTACTTTTATTTGTTTCGTGGTTCTTTGCAATGTCCAAATTTTTAGACTTGCATATTCTCAAATATATTTTGCAAATAAAAGTCTGTGGGGAAAAAAGCATTTATCTTCAGTCATATTATCACTAGTAAAACTGCCATTAGTTTAAAATCAACTTTCTATGGTGTGCCAGTTGACATTTATCCTTTGGTTATCTACATCATATAAGATAGACCTTATCAGATTTACTTTGTACATGTGGAACTTGCAGTGACCACAGATTCGAAAGCCTTGTATATAACAAGGTAAGGCTAATTTCTGGCTCCAAATTTCTCTAGAATCCATAATGCTGCCCTTCTTCTGCTTTGAGGTAGATATAAATGGAGTAGCAATTCTGATGCTACTGCAAAACTAGTACAGTTTGCTAGCTAGCTAGCTAGCTAGCTAGAATGATTGTGTTAGGCTGCGTCTCCACTGTTGTTAACATCCAAGGCTATTCCCGTTGTCTACATAAGAAATAGAACATCACAGAAGTGCATTTCTCTGAAGCACTAAAACAAAAAACCAAAACCAAACAAACCAATCATCCAACTACTGTTAGGTTTTGGATGGGGCAGGGTGACTCAAGAGGACACTGAGACAGATTACTGGGATATATTAGAAGGATTATTAATTCGTGGTCACACAGAAAAGCAACAGCAGGGCATGGGCTCTGAGAATCATTCAGGTCCCTTGCATGGTGAGGTCTCTAAAGGGAATCAGAACCTGTGTGGTGGATGAGGTAGCCTTTTCTCATACATTTTGAGGTATGGGATAAGTTCAGAGTGAAACCTTGTAGCCAGACTCTCCATTTTTCAGTAAGAAGAAGGGAAGGGAGTAAAGAGTAAGATGTGGAATCTCTTTGATACAGCCTCTGCCAATTATGAGCTTTGGCATCCATGTGGTGGGTAAACCAAGGCAGGCAGCTAATGGGGGTCAGTGTTTAGAGAAGCTGATTTGGTTCAGCCTAGATACTGACAAAGGCTGCTGCTAATGGCAGCCAGTGATTAGGACAACTACTCAGCAGACTTTTCTCTGAAGGAACAAAGCTTAATTTACAGGGGCTGACACTCCCTGTGGCCAATGGAAAAACATGTGAACCCTTTTAACTCCTTAGGGCTATCGAGAAAGAGAAGGAAAGAGAGAAAATTTACACACACACACACACACGAGGGGAGCGCAAACAGGCTCCAAATATTTCACACATATACATATGTACATATACACATATACACACATACTTGGAGGGTGGAAGGAACAAAGTCCCAACATACTCTCACACATAGTTTACATATATACATACATACACATAGTTGATGGAGGGCATCATGTTTTAATCCCACACTTTATTTTTTCTTCCATAGCTTATACATCCCAGCAAAATCTTTCAAGCATAATAAAATTGCAATGTGATTGTATTTTAGTTTTCTTCTAGTGAATTACTATGAAAAGAACAGTATGTTCCCTGATACCTTTATAAGAAATAACATTAAATACATAGTATACGTAAAGAAAACAAACTAGTCCCAAAACCCACATAAGAAATAACATTACGTACACAGTATACGTAAAGAAAACAAATTATTCCCAAAACCCACATATATTCGTAACTAAGCAACTTGTTATAGATTGACAAAGTATAAGAAAGCAAGAAGATTTTCTCAGGCAGAAGTTTGCAGTTACAAAGGAAGGAGCAATTATCTTATTATTTATCTTTAAAAGTAATTTTGTAACAATCTTAAAAGAATCACAAGTAAAACTTTTATATAAAAGTCAGTTATAGATGGCGTAGGACATCATCTTGGAGACAGGGGTTAGGAGGAATAGGATAAAGAACTGTGGAAGTGGGAACCAGTAGGGAGGTCATGGCTGGATTGTAAAAAACTAAACGTAATAAAAAATCAGTCACACCTATTTTACATCCTCAGAATGCATAATCTATTCATTAACTGTTCTTAATAAATTGTATCAGGAAGATGAGGGCAAAAATGCGTATACAAATCAATTATTGCTAATCCAACCCCAGTGAGAATCACATCATCCAGTGCTATCATTGTTCTTGTTTCCTGACCATTAAAGGTCTCTAGCTAAACTCATAAGCATGTGCCTTTCTGAACTTCAAATTATTCCCTAAGATTTTCTACATCAGAGCCAGTAGCAAAATCATCTTAACCTAGCTTCACTAACAATTTTATTTTTCCAAATAGGGTGGTGATCACTGCTGACAATCTACATCTCTAAGTTATTTCCTCGGGGGGTAAGCTAACTTATTAATCTGATCCAGCAGCAATGCCTGAAACATCAAGCACAATTTTTATGAGTGCCAAAGTTACTGCTCAATTAGGGGCTGGAAGCCCCCTTAGAACTTTCATACAATTTTTTGATCAAAGGGGAAGTGAGGGCAACAAGAAGAGTAAAACTCTGTAACAGCATAAAGTCTTAAGGATACATATTCCTCAGGATCATGGCTCTCAAGCTGCAACAATCATGGTTGTGCTAACTGGTGAGCAGAATTCCATAAATTCTAAAGCCATTTGCCACCCTCCTGCCTGGCTCTTGGCAAGGTTCACTTCCTGTTTTAGATGTTCTGATACAGAGAAGTCAGTTAGCTAGGAATGTCCTAGTAAGGTACCTGTCAGTGTCTGTGAGTGGGAGTCTAAACAGACGCTGGATTTTTATATTCTTAGACTCACCATAAATGGTCTTGTACACCAAAAGGATAAAAAAGAAAACATACTGAAGGATGGGTTTCTATAGTTGCATCCATCTCTTTTGGAAGTGATTAGGGTAATACCTCTGTTGCACAGAGTTATACAAGAGCATAGAAAAATTAAATGCTGATGAATTAGACTTTGTATTTCTTGAATATTTTTAGCATACATGCACAGAGCATGTGCTCATTGAATATCCCTGTCACAGCACTAAGATGCTTAGATAAGAGCATGTGTCTTTTTAATAGAATTTTGAACATATAAGCACATGTAACAGCAGTGAGATATTGAATTACTCCTTCTAAGTTAACATAAAAGGGGAATGAGGATGAGCGTATTTCTGATATGAGTGATTATGTGGAAATGTTCTAATCATAGCAGA